TGCGATTTGTCCGTGGCGCGCGCAACCCTCTGCGGAGATCGTGCGTGTCGAGTGCGCGAAAAGCAGGCGAGAGCGCGATTTGTCCTGCCCGCAGGCAACCGTCTGCGGAGATCGTGCGTGTCGCGAAATGCGGCGAGAGTGCGATTTGTCCTGCCCGCGGGCAACCCTCTGCGGAGATCGTGCGTGTCGAGTGCGCGAAATGCAGGCGAGAGCGCAATTTGTCCTGCACGCGGGCAACCCTCTGCGGAGATCATCGTGCGTGTCGAGTGCGCGAAATGCAGACGAGAGCCCGATTTGACCTGGACGCGGGCAACCCTCTGCGGAGATCGTGCGTGTCGAGTGCGCGAAATGCAGGCGAGAGCACGATGTGTCCTGCACGCGGGCAACCCTCTGCGGAGATGGTGCGTGTCGAGTGCGCGAAATGCAGGCGACAGGGCGAGGAGTCCCATGCGCGCGCGTATCTGGCGAGCTGCAAGATGAGTACTGGTGAGGAGCTGGAAGATGAGAACTGGCGACTTTATAGTAAAACTTTAGTACGCGGAGTATCGGAGGAGCTGGAAGATGAGAACTGGTGACTTGCAAGTACAACTGTAGTGCGCGGAGTAGCTGGGGAGCTGGAAGATGAGAACTGGCGACTTTGTAGTGCAACTTTAGTACGCGGAGTATCTGGCGAGCTGGAAGATGAGAACTGGCGACTTTGTAGTACGCGGAGTACCTGGGGAGCTGGAGGACGAGAACTGGTGACTTGGTAGTACAACTTTAGTACGCAGAGTATCTGGGGAGCTGGAAAATGAGACTGGCGACTTTGTAGTACAACTTCAGAGGCGGAGTATCTGGGGAGCTGGAAGATGAGAACTGGCGACTTGGTAGTACCACTCTAGTGCGCGGAGTATCTGGGGAGCTGGAAAATGAGAACTGCCGACTTGGTAGTACAGCTGGAAGATGAGAACTGGCGACGCGGAGGTGACTTGCAAGAGGTCAAAAACTTGCAGAAAAAATGTGTTCCTGCGCGTCAGAAAGACATACAGAGAGAGGCACATACACACACAGACATAGATACACACACACAGAGACCCACACACTGCCTCAACACACTCGACTCAACACTTCACACTGAACACTTACAGTAACACATAACTCACACTCTGACTTCACACATGATGAAAAATGCTTTCGGGCCACTCGTCGTCTAGTTTTTAGACACGTCTCAGGTACGCCTCAATGTGCTGGGAGGCATTCTAAGTGGTAGCGAAAACCTAGACTCCCCACCCCCTGGTAGGCAGTCTATCTTTCAGTCCGTCGGTTTTATATGTAACTGTATATGGATAGCTTTAGAAGAGCGAATGGGAGTTGCCAGGGAGTGACCCAGCAATTTTGCTTTTAAGGAACTCCCTTACTTGTATGCGGGGCAGTGCATGAATTATTCACGGGCAGCAATAAAAGTAAGTCTTTTCATCTGTTTAGTGACTTTACAACCACTTCAATGCATGAGTTTGTTGTCTACCAATCCATCGCCTACTCCCTGTTCCACCTTGTTTGCTACAAGCAACTAGAAAGGAACCTTTATCATGTTGCTTTCGAGAGTTGTGTGTGGTGTCTCCCATGCCGAAGCCACGCAAGCACAGACCAAGCCTGCTGCAGGCCATTGCTGATTTAGCCTTTTGAAACATTCTATGAGACTTCACCAAGGTAGACAGCCAAAGCCTGCCGCCTGCATAGAAGCTGGAACATGGCTATCTCATCCTCGATGAGTGCAAGGATGAATGCATTCTTCGCAACGACAAACTCATTCGCAGGCACTACCTGCCAAGAGATGCGCTCTTCGATCCCAGCGACACAGCCGCAGGATGTCCACTGCCACTACATTACTTGAGTAAAGACAGACAGACAACCGGCCGACAACCTGAACAAGTACGATCGCTGGAAGCAACAAGGCCGCAAGGCTGTACAGCACACATGGACAGGGCAAACAAGCTTCAAGATCTTACCGGCATATAGGCTTTTGGCCTACGAAGCCTTCTACAACATCAGCAACGGACCACCAAAGAGGCCAGAAAAAGGCTTCAAGAACGAGTGAAAGCCAGGGCCTCTGGGGCTCAGGAAGAGGGTCGTCGTCCTCTTCGAGTTCCAAAGGGTTAAATTGTCGTGGAAAAGGTAAGGGTTCAAGGCACTCGGAGATTCAAAAGTTTGCAGCAACGCATTGTAGAATCCTTTTGCCGCAGTTGTGGCCAGCGAGGCGACTGGAAGGCCGAATGGCCGTCGAAGAAGTCCACTGATGGCTCAAACACCGAGAAGAGTGCATATGTGGCGCCGACATCAGCCACGCTCGCATTCGACTTGAGCTATGTAAGTGCCGGACATCACCTTCGATGAATCTACCACCAAGGACACCAGTGAATGTTGTTTGGGGATAGTTGATCAACGTATCAAATACTTCGAACAACTTTTCAAGACGAAACTTCGAGCGAAACTCGCTTCCCCTGCCATGATGACCTTGAACAGTGAAGACCGCTCGACAGCGGTGACTGCCGTCACCCCGCCTGTGCAGGATTCTCCCGACCAAACCGAGGTCAGTCCGAGCCTGTTTGGAACACCATCCGTTGTGGATCTAGGAGCATCTCAAACGGTCATAGGAAACGAACAAGTTCCTGAATTGTTAAACAACTTGACGGTTGTGATTCAAAAGCAGGTTCGAAAGACCAAATGCAATTTGATTTTCAAGTTCGGCAATCATCAGACATTGCCCAGCACGATCGCACTTCTTTTGCCACTGGCCGGACCGTGGATTCGTATAGCCATCGTCGAAGGAAAAACACCTTTCCTGCTTTCGAGTAGCTTTCTGAAGCACATCAAAGCCGTAATAGATACTGAGAAGGGTACTCTATGGTCAAAGAAGCTCAACCGTAGTCTAGAGATGACTCAGTCTGCCAAGAATTTGCTTCTTCTAGATATCAACCAGCTATGTGAAGGTGACCAAGCACAGGAGGAACAAACTCCTGAACAGGCGTTCGCGATCCACGGCATTCACCACCGACGGAGACATTATCCGTCTGTGGAAAAGATGCCAAGCCAGATCAGTCAAGGGAATGTGCCTGACACACCCCACTGAACTGCATCGTCCGAATCGTTTCGAATCCACCGTCTCGAATCGTGTGAGGGCAAGTCAAGTGCGTGTCAGCAAAACAAAGACGAACGGCGCCGAAATCAGATTTCGAGCTCAAGCATTTCGTTGAGTCCGCCGTGCACTGACCAAGCGTTGAAGGTCGATCATGTCCACTGTGTGGGATGTTTTGTCATCCGATGGTGAGGTGAGCACTTCGTGTGCCCTCGGCATTGGGTGGAGCTGTGCCGAAGGTGGCGAGGAAGAAGCCTATACATGCAAACAATAGACAGAGAGACATGCATATTTACGTACATACATACCTAATCATACCTACCTACCAAAAAGCAGACAGAGACAGAGACAGACAGAGACACACAGACGGACCGGGACGGATGGACTGACGGACAGACGGACAGACGGACAGGAAATAGTTTCATACATACATTCATCATTCATACATACACATCAGGTGTGGAGACTGGAAGGCTTGACCCATCTTACTTCTTTTTCCTGGTTTTACATTTCGTGATACTTCCTGTATGTATAGTCATCCTGGCCACATGCAACATGGAAAATCCAAAAGCCAATACGACACAGGTCATGTCTTCAGATGGATTCATATTCTACTCCAAGATGGGGACGGTTAGTTTCTGCACAACCAACTAACCATGTTGGGACCGCCTTTTGACAAACACGCAACATGAGCGCAGATGCGCCAAAGCTTCCTGCCATACCTCAGCGACTGGCTGCGGCAGTATTTGGCAGCCCCACGTCACCGGGCATCGGAAAACAATGAGAACTGGTGATGGGATAGCCTTGTTGGACACGGCAGGTGCCAAAAAATTGTTCAATTGTTTAATCTGGGCTCTGAATAATTGTGCTAGACGCAAGTAGGACCTAACTAGGAGTGTGTGTCCACATGTGGTCCAAAAAACAGTTTCATGATGTTTCATGGGTGGTCTCCTGAGTTTGGCACAGACCAGTTTGATGGACGACTGGGGGTTAAGGACTTCCAGATGGGTGGGGGAGTTGCATCCACCACCCGCCAACCTCCCAATAGTTGCCAACATTCACATGTTAGAGGTCAACCTTCTAAGGTTTTTTCAGGACTCAATTGGGTTTATGCTTTTAAAATTGGGTGATGCGTCCCCTTCTCCATCCCTAGTGCAAAAGGTATTGCTTGCAGGAACAAAACCCTCGTTATTGTGCCGTCCAAAAGACTGGGGAACCAAGGGTGCGGGTTAGCGGTTCAGACGAGTTTTTTCTCCAAGTGTTGACCCCGCAAATGATTTGAAAACATATGTCCTTTCAAGATTCCGTTCAAAATTAGCCTGAAAAGATTCAACATGGCCAGCCAAGGCAAGCAATCTTCCCTGCAGAAACTCAGACGTGCCTTTGCCACATGCAGCCGGAACTGAGGGTTGTCAGGGTTGTCACAGCTCACTTGACAGCAGATTTGGTGGCAGGACTCGAAGAAATTCGGACATGATGATATTACAGGACCCAAACCCGAAGGCACTTGTCGTGTTTTCAAGATGTGGTTCGGAGTGCAGGGTGTGGCTTTTAGAAAAGTAGAGGATTAACATCCAAACCCAATGTTACCCTTCCCATTTTATGTCAGGGATTGTCCAGATTCCTTCCTATTTTCATGTTCCCGTGTTCATTAAAGATAAACATAATACAGCAGCCTGCCTCCCTCCACGGTGGTGCGCACTAGTATTAACACTTGCACCCCCAGCTGCCGCAGCAGCAGCAACGCCATCAATCAGATTGGCCAAAGTTTAAACAACGAAGCCACAAAACATTGGACAGGTATCCATTCAGTGTCCGCTGACCGTGCAGAATTTCATAAATCCCATCCAAAGGTGGAGTGCTGGGGCTGTTGCTCCCCTTAACGGGGCTGGAATAGAAGGGGATTCCCAGTTGCATCCCAAGACACTGCGACCCTATCCTTTAGAAGCTTCATGAAGCTTCCTTCATTCAACAGCCCTACAATCGCTTCGAAGAGCATGTACCCGGTATTTATCCGATGTATTTATTACCGATAGACAATAGAAATCTTCAACAAAAAGACTTCAAACATCTTCAAGCAAATTGAACTCGTTTTGGACACTTGTCCTCTACCCCCCACTTTCACGGTGACATACGGTGACCTTCCTAAACCTTTTGGTCCTGTCTGCTGACGGCCCCGAGACCTGGCACAGCGCTGGCGAGAGCAGGGCTATTTGTCCGTGGAAGCCCTGGCACCGCTGCTGGATCAGCTTCAGGGCGATGGAAGCGACTCGCAGGGCGCGCTTCAGGAGATCGTTTTTTTAGGGAGACCTCCCAAGGACGTCCTGGAAGAATGAAAATAGACCAGTCTACCCATTTTTGTTGGATGTTTCCTTAAATTTATTCTAATAGCTACACAGATGTTCTTCTTCCAGCCTGAAGTTGGTGGCTTCTCGTAACAGGATCACCTGCTTCTCAAAATCGACACTACTTTTTGATGGACAAGTTCTCAGCACGAGCTAAGAGCTAGGTCAGGTTTGGCAAAAGTTTCGGCACAATTTGGAGGTCATTACTAGAGTCAGGTGGACTTTCATGTTTCCCCAGGAGAACTTTGACCACCCCAACTCAGAAACACCACCACAACATACCACAACCTTGGAAACATCCACAACCTAGTCCTTGACCCCGGTGCAATGGATGGCAAGAGGACTCACAATCTTCCCAAACCTCCGGGCCTGCGGGAGCCTTGCGACCAGGCCGGATCTGCGAGATGAAGGGAGGGACCTGTCCAAGAAAAAGGATCCTGTGAGTTTTTTCGGGGATTGGTATTCCCACTCAAGATCCACCAGCAGGGGTCGAGGCAGAGAGATGAACCCTATTTTGATCAGACCTTTCATGGTGATTCATAATGAGACACGTTTGTTGGACGGCCACAGCATTTGGCTAAATAATTGATACCCCGGACAACTATTCTTGTCCATCTTCCTGAAAGTTAACTGACCACTGGGACAGCCCAGGAAGTGCGTAAACAGCAGCTGTCAGAAGATCTCAGAAGGGAGCAGGGCGGATCCAAACCCAAATGGATGTCCAAAATGTTTGGTTTCTTAACAGGAAAGTCCCCGATCCAGCGACCATGGAGGCCAGATGCCCTTCATGTGTGGCAGTTTTTCTTCTGGTGGTCTTTGGATTTTGTCAAACATCCACGGATCAGAGAGCAGCTGACAGTGTGTGTAACTTGCCACTCAAGCTGTGAGCATTTGAAAGAACTCGTTGGACGAGCATCCAAGAAAGCTCAAACGAAGTCCTTAAATCCTTTTAGATCCTTAGTTATCAATTGAATTACCCTGGTTGTCCTAGACTAGACAACAGTAGATGTCTGTGAGGTCAGCAGTTGGGTCAGAGTCGGAGACCGACCCTGACATGGAAACCTCTCCTCCAGGTGCTGAACAGCCGCCCACACGGGGAGAAGACAGCAGAACGTCGCTGAGCCACTCGCCTGCGCCGAGACTGCGAGGAGGGCACCCTGTAGAGACACAGCCAGGCTCAAGAAACAACCCGACAGTATTGCCTTGGAAACAACCTGCTTGGTCATGCCAGAGCCCAACCTATTGTACATGTGTTTCTTTGCGTCTTTGTGTTGTTTTTGTTTGTTTTTAAACACTCTGCAGTCTGAAACCAGTCGTTCTTGCTTTGCAGTGCACATGATGTTCGTCACAGCAAGATGTTGAACATGTTGTCACCCCTCACTTACGTACCTCAAGGCTGGGAAAGGTGATAGAGAGGCCAACGCTTGCGGTCAAACGGCAAGCTTCTTGCCAGGTCTGTGCCAGGCCTTGTACCAGATGTTATTTGGATTTCTGTGTGGCCTCCATGGGAAGAAAAAAGGAGTACAGTTACAGGATCAATGCATCACAGGGCAGTACAAAAACAGCAGGTTTTGTCCTCCCAGATACCAACACCATCGGATGTGAGCCCTGTTGACACTTCATTTTGCTGGCCAACGCCCGGCCAATGACTGTATGAAGTCTGAAGTCTTTGTCTCTTTGGAGACTCAACTTTCCCCGCCGGGAAGAGTGGATCACCTGCCTTGCCAAACCTTTTTTTGAGGGGAATTGAGGACACCCCTGTGGAGTGCGGCACGTTCCGTTCGAGACATGTGGGGATCCAACGGATCGCAACGATCTCGGTGTTGTCAAGTTCCGGTCGAAACACTCTCGGCAGTCAGCGCACTCGTTCGCTCACTTTTCATAAGTGTTCTGTTCGATGTTGGCTTTTCATGAAAGAGTCAACTGACCAACTGGCAATCCCACGGTTTTGCATGAAAAGAATGCCTGCGGCATTTGGGTCATTTTTGGTGAACCCCGGCAAACTTTGTGAAACCAGTGGTCTGCAAGTGGTGCAGGAATTCTTCCTTCGCCACTGGTCACAGCTAATTAATGCTAATTAAAGATGCCATCCACCCTAATCATCATCGTTCTTGGGATCCCCACCACGTGCAACGTAGGTTCTTTGCCTTGCAACGTGGGTTCCCGGTTCCCGCCTTCGCTTCGTTACCGCCGCAGGCCGAACTTCGTTGGGCTCACGTTCCTTGACCGAACTCATGGGACTGAGAAGTTGACTTTGCTTTTAAGTACACCTAATTCTACTAGTAACAAGTGCATCGCTTCTAGTAACAAGTGCCTTACTAGTAGTAACAAGAAGCTATTAGAAGTAATTACACTTAATTCTATTTAAAGTCTATAGCTTCTTATTGTTTCTACTAGCTTCTTGTTCCCAGTAGTAAGGCCCTTGCTCCTAGTAGCGATGCCCTTTGTTTCTAGTAGCGTCCTTGCTCCTAGTAGCTTGGAGGGATATGAGTGCTCACAATGGCTCACAGTGGATTTGATGTTTCACCTTCTTTTTCGGATGATGATGCTTAGGGATTCTTATGGACCAAATCGTGGTTTGATCTTCAGGCCTGTTGGTTCATTTCTACTAACAGCATCTAACAACTAACATATATAGATCAGATCTGATGCATAAGCCTTCGCCCAGTAGTCGTTTTGGAGTTGCAGATTTCCTACTGGCACCTCCCGTAGTGTCAAATGTCTTCGTGCTCTGGGTGTCCTGACCACCCCACTTTTCGATTAGCGCAGTCCAGTGGCGGTGATTTCAACGAGAAAACTTGGTCGAACAGGTCGGGCAGTGGATCCTTTTGGGTGTAGTGGATCCTTAACCAGAAATATTGTCTAACCAACGATTTGGGCGCAAGAGACCTCCTCCAGCGGCAACGTGATTTGGGCGCAAGTTACACCAAGAACAAACCACAACTTACTCCTTCAACGCCCTGACCCAGAAGCCGGCTATTTAGCGCAGTCCACGGGCGACCAGTGCGAAACCCGGTCAATCCACCCAGACCGTTCCAGACGTGATGTCTTTCGAACTGATGCCCTTTGTTCCTAGTAGCTTCTTGTTCCTAGTAGTAAGGCCAGGAGCCCCTAGTAGCGTCCTTGCTCCTGTGCTCAGGAGCTGCGAGTGTTCCAGCCGCTTCGGGCGAACGTGCGCCACCGGCGGATCGTCCGTCGACGAGTCGGGAGTCCGCATCGAAGACGCGATCCGATCGGAGCTCCTTTGGGATCCGAAGCTGCTCCAAAAAGAGTGGCAGGAGTCAGGAGTAGGATATATAACTGATATATTTTATATGCACATACATATATATCATATATATATATTATGTATATGATCTGAGATGGATCCCCATGAATGGTCGATCTTCAGAAGAGTTGGTTGCCGGTCATGACTACTGACAACTAGGTCTACTGTGTAACTTGACAGAAGAAGGTGCAAACTGTGCAAAATTGGGAAATGGGAAATGCCTGTATTCATCCAACACTTCCAGAACATCCTAGCTGTTGCTCGGGCGGGAGCGACGGCTTGGGTTGCCGGGGGTATCCATGTTACAAACAGGGGAGCCGTTCGGAGCGTAGAAAGAAAGGGGCAGTATCTGTCTTGCTCTTCAGACAGAGGATTTCCTTTACTTCGGTGGGACAAACATAGAGTCCAGCTGGACTTCATCCGCGTTTTGACTTGTACAGTTCCTGTCGTCCCGCCAGGCCATGCCGAGACCCCCGTGGCACGGAGGAAGAGTGCTTCAGGCCGTCAAAGTGGCGCGACTTTGTTCCTAGGTGTTCAGGAAGGAATGCATAAACCCAACCTTTAAAAGGTGGAACTCCTTCAACCAACACAAAAGATGTCAAACAAATTTTGGGGCGGCGAATCTCTACAGATGTTCTTCTTCTGTATCACATGCCACGGAATTCAGGTAGCTGCTCAAATCGGTGCCCAAAAAGGGTCGCAAACGAAGAGTGGAAGCGTCTTCTGCTCTGAGCTTTGCAGAGGATGACTTGAGTGGGTTGATTGGTTTGATTTAAGCGCAATTGTTTTTTCAATCTCTGGTTGCTACATCTACAATCACAATGGTGGCCTTCCCGGATTCATGTGGTCTCTGAAACCCACCCCAAGAAAGCTTTGGGAGACCTCCCAGTCTCCTCAGACAGGACCACAAATTCTCTCTATTCAAATATACACCCAAAATTGGGTTTGGTTTGCATGGATGTGGAGTTCATGCGTGACACTCACGGAGGCACATGGAGGCCACGTCAGGCCACGAATGGATCATGATATATCATTATTGATCAACGTTTGCACCCGTGTGGGTAGGACACCACCCGTCGAACGGTGATATCACGTCCGCTTTCTGATGTAAGGTTCGAGGTGGGTGATCCTACGGCTGTGCTTTGTGTGTCTAAAAAAATGTGTGGGACAAGATGTTGTTGCTCTTGGAAGCCAAGTTACGACCATCCGGAGAAGGGCGTTTGGTCCCGGCATGTCCGTTGGGTCCCTTGGTTTGGCAGTGATGTCCTTTGTTCACAGGTGACTCCAAGAGGGACCCAGCAATTCCTTGGCCAATTTCCTAGGTACCCAGCCAAAGCCGCTGGATGCCCAAGCACGTGAGGAGTTGTGGGGGAGGTCACCGGGTGCCAAATGGGTGCTCGCTTCAGCTGGAGCCGAAGAGTTTGGAATCCGGAGAACAGCAAGGATCCACCTTCATCATTCTTTTTAGCTTCATCATCTTCATCATCTTCATCGTTTTGTGTGGCCGAAGGATCCAAACTTTGTAGAAAAGCTTTGGGAACTGCTCACGGAGAGCTCGGGTACCCTAGAAGTCCAACAACCATATTTCGTACGCCTCCAAATATAGCGGACCTTCCTAGAGGTGGTGTGATAGGGGGTACTACGACCGGTTCCCACCAGACTCCAGACAAGAGGGGAGAGTGCTTGACTTATTTGGGAGTGGAAACGGAGTCTATGGTATGCAAAATTCATCTTCACCACAGTTCAGAGAATTTGTGAAGAGATGAACAGACCATATATAATATATTCAATGCACATCCTGACTGGTGTTGGCAGGTATAGTAGCAACTGTGCAGGTTGGTGAAACACGGCCATATTCTTTGGTCTGCATCATCTTGGACAGTTCACACGTGGTGGGACTGAAGCCGCCTTGCGTGTGCCGAACTTGAAGGGACCGGTTCCGATGCAGGAAGCTGCACGCCAAGGCTATCGGCTCTTTGGGCCAGGCCGGGGCTTCCGACCCAGGAAAAGTGGATCACCTTTAAAGTAGGCGGCTGATTTCAAAAAGCCATATGAAGAGGTTTGTTCATCCAAATGCGGGGGATAATATTGATCAACGGTCCAGGGATAAACCTGATTTGGTCCCTCCGAGCGACATCCGGGCTTGGATCTGAAAGACACCTGTCACCTGCATGAGAAGATCAGAAGGTCCAAGGTTTTGGAGTTTTATTGGTGGGTCAATCTTTAACGTGCGTGTTCCGGCTTGGAGGGGATTCTTCTGATCATCACTGGAAAGTGCCCCCCCCCCCAGGACCCCAAAAGAAGGGGCGAACTCAGAACTGTTCAGACGGTTCGCCTCATTCGTGTAGAGAGTTGATGAACAAAACCCCCATGTTGATTGCAAAGCCTCTTTTGGCCAGGTAAATCAAAGGTCTACATGATGGATCCACTGACACCCTTTCTTTGAGGGTGAGGCAGACAAATTTGATGTCGCCCGTGAGGAGGGTCTAGTCACAGTCCTACCGACGCAGGGAAGGTGTGTGGCTCCCTACTGTAGGGGCTGAAGCTGAACTTTGACCGATTTTTCTCCGCGAAGCTGCGTGGAGGATTGGAGGAACAGCTGGTGACGGGGGACGATTGAGAAAGGTTTTTACTAACCATCATCATCCAGTGTTACAGGGGATTAAATCAGCCTGGCCTAGCCCATTATAAAACCATTCTCACAGACTACGTAACATCGTGTAGAGTGGGAGTTGACGCATGGCAGCTCTGATGTGCTACGTGTCCCCATTAATTTGACTAAGAACCGTATGCAGTAGACCCATGGACAAATATGTTGTTGTATTTTTACATGTAATATTTATATATATACTGTGAGGATACACCATGCTGAAGCCAAAAAACACGAGTTTTTGAGGGCCCAGAAGATGATGTGACGGGCGTGGAAACAATCTTATTGAACACGCGGGTATAAAGTTCTGGCACGGTGTGTGCATGTTTTTTGGGCGTCCTTCTCCATTGCAATGCCTTTGATTTCTCGCGCAGTAAGCGCCATATTTGGTGAAATTCGAAACTTTAATTTTCATGGCAAGCACCATGGGGCGAACTGCTAATTTGATAATATTTTGTGGCACGTGCAGCATTTGGCAAACCTCTTGTTCCACTGTGGCAGGTGCAGCATTTGGTGGACCTCTAGTTACCGCTACACTTAGTGTTCTTGCCCGGCCAGTAAACAGGCTGCGCGGCGTCCACTGCACACCTCCAATGATGACTGATTTGGGCTTATTGGAAAGAAGTCTTGTCAAAAAAATTGTGCTCGCAAACTTGGATGCGCTATTGCGCCCAGGCAAGTTTGCAACAGAAACACACGCGTAGGAAGCTGTTTGACTACGCGACAGCAACAAAGGGCAACGGCAAAGATAGATCACGTGCCCGGAAGCATCGCCGCCAACATACATGCGTGGCCCATGCATAGGTTGCTCAACGCCGGAAGGATGGGCGGACAGCAGGTGACGAAAATTTCACAAAAGAGGATCAGAAAGCGAGGCCGCCAGGAGGGCTCAAAATGTTGGCTGCATTATGACAGTGAGAAATGGCGCCCGGATTTCGGCCTCGATTTTGGCGAGCTTCACCGGTGGCGGCGCGCGCCCAATTCTTTGACATGGAACAGCGCAAGGCGACAGAAAGCTGCCCGCCATAAGTTCTGCCATCAGCTTGTAGCAGTTTTGTTGACGCGCGCTCAAAATGACTGCAGGCAATAGGGTCATCCTCAGGAACACTTGCGAGAGCAGCAAGCTGGGCGGCTGCTGCCTAGCGCTGGCATGCAGTTGGGCTTGAGCCTGTGAAATATCATTGAGCAAGCAGCAACAGAATGCACCCCAATTGGTAGAAGCACAGCTGCTGCAAGGCATTCGTTGCAAATTGCAAATCTCCAACACTGTATATATATATATTAAACTAATATATGGAAGTTTTTGTTAATAAACTTACTATTCCTTTTCCTATCACTATTATATATTTTATATGTATACATAAATACCCTTAGATTTTCCAAATCCACGACTTCCCTACCTGTGGCACCCACGCCGCCCACGCGGATTCGCCCAGGCTCCAAGCGCCCACGCTCGCCGCGCTCGCCGCGCTCCTCGTCACCGCCGCCCTCGCGGCGTCTGGTGCTGCCCAGTGGCACCACGGAGACGACCGAGACCGGAGGAGGTTGGCCGGTCAATGGCGGGCAGCGTTGGCCTGCTTGGGGAGTGTTATTTCCAGCGGAGAATGGATCCACAGAGCTGAGTGTGCCACAGAGGTGACACAACGACCCGCGGACCAGATCATTGACCGTTGTGTTTTGGGCACACAAAGCACGCATAGCCAGTCTGGCACGGGATGACTGAAGATTCGCCCGGCACGGGTTTGTTGCATCATCCACCAGGTGGGAACACCTCATTTCCTTGTCTAAAGCTGATTGCGTCACGACATCTCTCGACCATCAGTTGTCAACTTTATGGATCCACTGATCTGTATACCGTAAATAGACCCAAGGTCAAGTATAGTGCGCTTTTCATTCTTTTTGCAGATGCATCGCGTGCATCCGCATCGCCTGCCACCTCTCCCGGGGTCGCCGCGCAAAGCGCGCAAAGCGTGCAAAGCGCGCCAAGCCCAGCGGCCGCGGCGCCGCCCATCTGGCCGGTGCTGGGAGACTGCCGTTGCCTCTTCCGCGCCGTGTGCCGCGCCAGGGCAGGGGAAAGTTGCGGTTTGCATCCAAAACGGTGTGTCCTTTTTTGGAGCTTCTGTCAGATGCCAGGGGATGGTAGTTTCAGGGAGCGGAGACTTAACCTGGAGGCAATTGTGTTCTTTTATGTTCGTTTTATGGCAAGTCTTGGATATGGACACTCCCCATTCCAAGGCAGCTCCACCACCATCGTTTGTGGACCTCGAGTCTTGATTGGCGACCATCGTGTGCGTTGTAAGGACTGTTAGAACCTACCGAGGGGCCTCCTTCCGGGTGAGGCTCCCAACAGTGGTGCTTCAGGGAAGCTCTTGTCCGAAAGCCCCACGAATGGCCAAGGATCCGTTCCAAATACCTGGACCCCTGCAACCACTTGGACCGCGACCAGCGCGGCGAGCCAGTGGAGGAGCAGCACAAGACTCAGGAACGAGAGAAGGCCGATGTGCTGCGGCTGCGGCTGTGCAATCACCTGCGCGAGCGCAAGGAGGAAGTGCCCTGGATATGTCGGGATGTGAGAAACTCTTTCGCGAGCCCTTGAGAAGGTGGTGAGAAGCACATGCATGTGGAGAAGATGCCCAAGGTTCGCCTCCAAGCTCATTTGGGTTGGGGCGAGATTCTTGGAAGCATTCTTCATGGATGCTTGAAGCTCATGGATAGCACGAAGAATTCGGTGTCCGCAGGGTTTGTGCAGTCGTCCTGTCAGGGGCCATGACAGAGGGGTAGAGATGGAGAGCCTGAATTCACTCAAGCCCCTGGTTATGTTCGCATACATTACAATTTACAACATGACGTACTCGTAAGATTACATATTATATTAAATATATGTGTATATATATAAATACAATATCAGTAAATATCAGTAAACAAAACTACTTGACCTTTCAATCATTTGTCTTCATGCCATGGTGAGGAGCATGTTGCCATGGTCGTGCGTTTTGTGGTTCTCGATTTTGCTTGTGGGTCCTCGGGTTGTGTGCTGTGGTTGCGTGTTGTGGTTGTGGTTGTGTGTTGTGGTTGTGTGCTGTGGTTGCGTGTTGTGGTTGTGTGCTGTGGTTGTGAGCTGTGGACGTGTCGTTGTGGTTGTGTGCTGTGTCTGCGTTTGTGATTGTGTGTTTGTGACTGTGTTTGTGATTGTGTGTTTGTGGCTGTGTTTGTGATTGTGTTTGTGGTTGTGTGCTTGCGGATGTGTTTGTGGTTGTGCGTTTGTGATTGTGTGTTTGTTTGTATTGTGTTTGCGGTTGTGTTTATGATTGTGTAATTGTAGTCGTGTTTGTGATTGTGTGTTGGTTGAGGTCCGGCAGCGCCCAGTGCGCTCAGGAGCTAGCGGTTGAGGCCCGGTGGGGAGCACTGCCAGCCGGAGCTCGCGGTTGAGGTCCGGCGGGGAACGCTGCCAACTGGAACTCGCGGTTGAGGTCCGGCGGAACACTGCCAGCCGGACAGGTGTGGTAATGCAAACAAAACTATACATATACTACTGTGATCTACTGTGTATATTTGATAGTTCCATCAAATATGATAAAATATATCACTCAACAAAACACTTCAACACTGTATTCATATAAACAAAAAACTACTTGTAATATTTGCACACACCAGAGTGCATATATTACACTACTTGTAATATATATATATATAGCATGAAAGGAATCAGGGCCCCACCACCACCTGAGCATCCTGGCCTGACCGAGGTGCTAGCTTTGCTGGAGCATCCCCTCAAGACGGTGAGGGAGGGACCAAGGGAGGGTGAGAGGTCCAGGGCTCAACTAACTGGGAGGAGTGGAGTGGCAAAATGTTTTCCTTGCACAGCCGGAATGGACTGGGTGGGAGTGAGCTGGGAGGAATGGACTGGCAGAAAGGGCTGGCATTTTATCACGAAAGCTAGCATGCTAGCTGAGTTCTTCTTTGCTTTAGCAATGTTGTGGTGGGAGGGGCTGCGTGCCTTAAAGATTGATATATCAAGCTAACCCCCCCCCCCGCGGTTCAACTCCCAGCTGCGCCGTGTAGGGGGTTGGTTGAACGTGGTTGGTTGGGTGTAAACGGTGGCTTGGTGTAAAGGGTGCTGCTGCTGCTGCCGCTCTGCTGCTTGCTGCTGCTGTTTGCTGCTGCCGCTGGTTGCCGCTTTTGTAGCTGCTGCTTTGCTACTTGTTGCGGCTGATGACGCCGCTGCTACTGCTGCTTGCTGCTTGCTGCTTGCTGCTGCTGCTTGCTGCTTGCTGCCGGTGGTGCTTGCTGCCGGTGGTGCTGCTGCTGCTGCTGCGGCTTGATGCTGCGCTGCTGCTGCGTGGTGCTGCTGGCTGGCTGCTGGTTGGTGGTTGCTGCTGGCTGCTGGCTGCAGGCGGCTGCTGCTGCTGCTGCTGGCTGCTGCTTGCTGCATAGGACTTGTACTTCACCGTTACAAGTTGTTTACCCCTATTTCTAACCTAATGCATGCATAAGCGGGTGGTAAATTTACCCCCCAGGCTTGCTATAACCATACACCGGCTATTTCCTCAAGACACTCTATTCTTGATACCTTTTACCAGTGCTTATCCTACACTACGGACGCCCTAGTGTAT